GCAAAATTTATTGTCGTACGCAAGTATCAATACTTTTTCAGTGATTGTTCAAAGTTTATGATTATGATCACAAAATTTTGAATGAACCATCAGCCAACCATTTAGGTCATCGTATTTTAAAATTTAAATTTGAATCAAAGAAGTTGAATTTTATTGAATCAAAGTTTTTCAATTGTTCTATGTTATAGTAAATTTCAGAATGGCATAAATTCAAAAAGTTATCATCCAAATAAAATAGTAGTAGTCCAGGCTTTGCTCCAGTATTCATTATGCAAGACGGTGAAACAGTAACTAATATCTAATAATAATTAATAATATCGTTTAACAAATTATAGGATTCAATTAACAATAAAGATTTTTGCTGGATTTACAAGAAGCAATCATTCTTTCTTTTTGACACTCACTGAAAATTGTATCGCCAAATAAATACAATGAAATGATTCCCCATAATGGGGAAATCGAGATATTGGTTTGAAATCAGTGGAATACTTGATTTCCTCGGAGGAAAAAACGAAAGTTCAAATGATTGAAACGTTTCATTTCCTTCTTGTCCCACGCTGGAATGTTCACATAAATCCACAATCAGAAATAACAGCCTTATTTTTATTTAGTGTTTTTTTATTTAAGGGTAAACGGCCGAGCAACTCAGTTTTAGCATGGTTAAACATGGTCACTCAAATTTATTTTTAATTTTTCTTCTTTGTTCCTCCGGATGTCTTTACGAAAATACATTGTCAATTTCAAGTTCCATAGCACAACAAAATTGGTGTGTTTTATTTTTAATCCAGATAAAATCTTAAAAAACTCTCCTGGTCTGCTGGCAACTCGGGAGAAGAGAGCGACGAGGCGTGACTGACAAAAAATCTCCTGTCCTTCTCTCTCGCGAAAACTCTTTTCCATTACTTTATTTGTAAATTTTTGTTCTAACTGAATTAAAGACTACTTCACGATTCTATGGTACTTTGAATTTCGATATTATACACATTGAAAATTGCTGAAATTTGCCGGATCAATTTTTATTTCACTATTTTTTACTATACCACAGGTTGTTAGGTTGCTCTTTTTCTGTCTTGCCAACTTGCATTTATTTCGAAGCAGGAATATTTTAAATATATTATATCAAGTGGCCGCACACGTCATAGCTTCTTTTGCACTTGACTTTTGACTTGAATAAAGGTCACACACGAACATTTCTCAACAACTCTAATGCTATATAGTGATACAAAAGTAATTAAATCTCAAAGACTGTTTTCTGAGTATATATTGAAAATAACCAAACTGATGAAACATCGCAAATCAACTCATTTCAATGCAGGTTTATTAACTGTAATAAATTCATTAGCCTCTAACAATTTATCCTCGATAATCGTTCATCTCCAACTGTTCTTTGAATCCATCTGAAAATGCAGAATCGACATAGAGTTCATTGGGCGTTTTTGCACAGTTCACAACGAGTATTTAATTAAGCACTTTTCTGGAAATTAAGTTTCGTTTATCAAACAAGTACAGCATGAATTAAATGGTGGGTTTAGATTTTCAATTTTCGAAACTAAAATGAGATTAAGTCCGGAAACAAAACAAAAAAATTTCATAAAAATCTAGTACTGAATACCAAATAAAATGAATTGAAACGATTTTCATGTGTAACTTTAGAGCATTATATTAATTCTACTTACGCCTGCCTCGTCATTTTTGACACACAACCATGAATATGGCGTGTAGTAATATCAGTATCAAATTGATGTACACAATCAATAGTTTAGCATTCACTGCGAAATGCAAATTTCGAGTATAAGAAATACTATTCAATACCTAGTAATGAAGAAATTTGACAAATAACGAGAATCAAGCAAGTCTGATTTAAACTTTGCAAAATTGAATGATTTGTATGTAAACTTCTATATGACGATCATGTACTTCGATGCAAAACAGCGCTAAACTTATTCTCCTCTGATATTGACGGGAAATGGTAAACACGAGTGCTACATACATCTTGTAGTAAATTTTTTACTGTGGCAATTTTTCTGTTCAAATTCGTAAAAATCTGGGAAACTCCTCTCTTTATGGTGATCATAAAATACAATAAATCAAAAATTACAACGTTATTATGAGCATTCACCGAACACCACAACAAACAAGGACATTATAACAAAATGATTTCTTTATTTAGAGATATTGATTTGAATCCGAATGTGAAAACTTCCTGTTAGGAAATGATGTCTGGCTGCTTTTGAATTCTTGACAGGCTTCGGTTTCATATCTTCGCACTAAAATATGGTAGTTTGCTCTCATTCAAAAATGGCCGCTGTCTCTTTTTTTTGGGCCCATGGTTCAATAAATGTAAATTTTATTATGGTTAAACACAACCACGGTCGAGTATTTTATATTTCCATTTTTTTCATTTTTTTGTCGAATTACCTAAAATATCTTTTCTAGAATAATTTGCCAATCATTTCATTAAAAAACAAAAAAACAAAATTCCTTCGGAATTCCCGTGCCGGCGGCACCTTGATAAATTTCAAAATCGACTGCTCGCCCAGATTTACCACAAATAACAAAATTCTTGGGACCAACAGGATTGGGTTTACCTTTGACGAATCGCTTAGCAGGTACTCTACCAGTGAAATGAATCATTTGCTCATCAACTGCATTAAATTCTTCACGAGGCAACTGGATGCAACGATTTCGAACTGCATTAATAACTGGTTGCACCTTCCCAAACTTACTTTTTTTTATCCAGTAGGAGGTTGTCTAGCGCATTCACGTGTAAGCTATTTCGCAGCAGGAAGTATCTATTAACGGGCATGGATTCAGCAATCCTGTCAACACGGTTCACTTTTCGCCAATACATCCGAAGTCGTGGGAAACCCAAGTTTGCCATCACATTCGACGCCCCAAAAAAGCGACAGATTTCGACTGAATCGGTTCCAATAATTCTACCCTAAGCTTGCAAGTGATAAATATTTGTTTGATCCGCAAAAAATTGAAATAGTTCTGGTTGGAAGTAGTTGAAGAAATATTTTGCAGGCGTATCTAGAGCAGGGAGGTCCAAACCCAGGCCCGCGGGCCACATGTGGCCCGCCGCTTCATTATCTGTGGCCCGCCTCGCATTTGCGCGAGGGTAAACCAAAAATCGCATTTGGTGTTGTTTCGTAATACAAATAACCAGAAAAATCCTCTGACATATTGTTACATCACTAATAAATGTCACTGAATTGACTGGTGTTAAGGCTAGTTGAGAAACTTGAGGTAACTAGCAAAGTTGAATAATGTTTTTGGCTAGTCTAAATTGTTAACTAGTATTCTATTTTTTGGTCGGGAATATATGCTAACAAAATAGGCTTAATTAATGGAAAAATAAAAACCGAATGAGGAATCTATTTAATTAGCCTAGATTGGCTATGCCTGATAACTATATATTAATGTAACGGCGGAACAACATAATTCTTGGCGGGTGTTTTTTTTGTCAACCAGCCTAAACAGTAAAAAATGCTGCCTATATGTCAGAAAAGTTAGTATTTACTCTCTCAAATTTGGTAAAAGTAGGTAATCAATCAATCTGCAGTTATTTTGTAAACATGTCTTCAAGTTGTAAACGTGACATTCTAAAACGACATTTTCTTCGTTATGAAGAGTTTGGAATCCCACACTAAATGTAGATATAGTAAGATTTTTGCACGTTTTTGTGAGTTTCTGGTGGTTTTGGCATGTTTTAGCTTGATAAATAACAAATAATGATCAATGTGTTTATGAAATAAAAGTGTTCGTCTTGTATTGCAATGTTCACCTATTCTTGGCACTATTTTGGCCCGGGAACAATACAAAAATAATACTGTGGCCCGCCGTCAACCTTGGACCACCCTGATCTAGATAATCAGCAGCAATTGGCTTTTCTTGCCAGGTCAGAAATCCAGGCTGAAATGGATTTCTATCTGGCGAATGCCACTGTATTTTGATCATTTTCTTCTGTTGCTTATTACTGTTTACAGTATCAGCTGGCTCCTCACTCTCTTTCACGCCTTCATTGCTGGTCGAAACTACCAGCCTGTTATTGATACTGCAAAAATTTGGATCGTAGTCTTCTGCCATAAAACCTTCGGATCCATAAAGGTCAATGTCAGACTCATCTAGTCGATCTAACACCTCTTTTGCATTCAATATCTCATGCCTCACTAAAACAAAACATATTTTATTGCCAGGGTTGGTATAACACTTGCTACTTTACAGCCTGGAAAAATATTTTAGCTTCAGTTCTATAAAAGTATACCTTTAAAAATTAAAGCTTTTTCTATTGCCATATACGCTTATTATATCCCAATCACTGTTCTATAAAACTGAGATATTGATTTACATTACCCTCAGCTGTACTGCGCTACCATAAAAATACCAAGTTATCTACAGTTTGGGATAATTTTAATATGAAATTTTCTGCTATAATCAATATAATAGAGAGGCATTCGGTAACAGAACTTTCAATAACACTGCAACACATGATTATAAACTTTCCTGGTAAAATTTATAGCCCTAGAAACATATAAAACAAAGTGATTTATTTCATGAGAGTCTGTGCTTTTTTCTCATATTAGGCACGAAAGGTACAATTGTACACACCAATTTTAAAAAAATTCTACCATCTACATATTAGCTCAACCGAAACCAAAAACTGGATAAACGTCACCCCAAGTAGTCTTAATTGCAGTCTAAGCCTAATTTATTGGCTCTACACACAAGAAAATGGTAAAAAAAATTACACCAAATTACCGCTTGTTGAGCACACTTCAGCCATCGCAATTTCCGCGCTGCAAGAGGACTCACCACTAGGGGAAGACATAAAGCCAAACTCATAGCGCGATAAAACCGAGAAAGCTCAATTGAACACACCGTGACTAATTTCGGTTAGTCGTATTACGTGAGCTATAGCGACGTACAATTATACACGTTGTGACCGAAGGGGATAAATTGAAATTGCCCATATTGATACAAATCATAAGTCAATTTATTTTTACTCAGCTTTTATTTATCGCTCATCAGATACATTTCAAATAATGTTATACACACCATATTTTCATGTATATTCTGAACCTTATGTGAAACACCTGGAATAAAAAAATATATAATAAGCAAATATGCAAATATGAGTAGTTTAAACTTTAGAATATATGATCACCTCATTATTCTTCGGGGATTTCATCCTCCAACTGTTCCACGTAGCCTGATGAAACAAACAAAATTGACTCAAGAGTTCAGGGGAAGTTTTCATTTGGGTTGGCAAACACGATATTCAATTCAATCAATGATATTTGAGTGGGTTTAAATTTTCAGTTTGACCAACAAAGATTTAAACTCTGGCAACAACCTAACTACCCACCCACTCCATCCACAATGGTTTAATTTCTTCTTTTATATCTTTCATATGCCGCGTTACTGAAAGGTTTTCAAAGATTTCATACGTTTTACTATCCTATACTATTCACAATCAAGCTGAATTTGGCATATTCCCCCAATTTCATAACTTCAGCATTAAAAACTTTACTCACCCCCTGCGAATTCTCCTCTTGGATAAACTCCTCCTTGACATGCAACCATATTTACAGCTTGCAAAAGCATCAGTAATGAAATAACCAGCAAGAACAATAGTCGGGCATGATCACCAAAATTCATATTCCGAGTCTGGGAGAAAACTAAGTTAGTATGTGATGGAACTATTTATGAAAACAATATAATACAAAAAAGAAGAAATTCGTTATTTCGTGTAAAAAAGTGATTGCATTGTCAATGGTTCCACACAAATGTCCCACTACCGCCTTGAGCAAATAACACTTCCATTACAAGTGGCAAAAATGTTTTCTGGCGAGAGGCTTTTTGTAGCTAGGTTGAAGAATTCTGTCAGAATGGCAGTAAATAATTTTGGCATTGTCAATGGTTCCACACAATGTCCCACTACCGCCTTGAGCAAATAACACTTCCATTACAAGTGGCAAAAATGTTTTCTGGCGAGAGGCTTTTTGTAGCTGAGTTGAAGAATTCTGTCAGAATGGCAGTAAATAATTTTGGGTGCTCCTGAAGTATCCACACCAAGATGTCGCATAACATGAACCCTAACCTGGTACACAACCTAAGTTCAGGTTGTGCGCCATCTTGGTGCGCATACTTCAGGAGGTCCTAATTTTGTTTATTATTATGCTAAGATATAAGAAATTCCACATTACATGTTTTTATGCTTGATACCAGGATCACAATACCTAACAAAACAATAAACTCAGTTTTACCAGTCGTCGCCAAGATGATGCCTCAGTGAAAGATCAAAAGAGCAACAAAAGTGTTTGAACCGGTAATTTTCTGTTTTAAACAGTCTTTTAAACAGTCTAACTACATAAATTTGAAATAGAACAAGAACTACATGAATTTTAGAAAATATACAAATTAATTGATTATTTTTGAAAAATAGCATTCTTATATAAAAGGTCTGTTTAGATAAATGATTTAATATGAAGCTAATGCAAATCTATCATAAACAGCATAATGCATATTCTTAAGTCCATACGTAAAAGCAAATTAATCTTGCAACGCCCGTCAGTTTCTGCTTAACGATATTTTACTTTTTAAACATTTTACAGCTTTTCTCCTGTGTTATGGAGTTTAAACAAACAATCTAGACCAGGGTGGTCCACGGTTGTCGGCTCCTGGGGCCATAAAATTATTTTTGCATTGCATTGCATTGTAAACAGTGAAATACAAAACAAACTCTTATTGTGCAAACACATTGATCAGAATCTGTCATTTATCAAGCTAACCAATGCAAAAACCGCCAAAAAACTTACTAAAACCTGCAAAAGTTTATTTATATCTACATATAATGTGAAAATTTCAAACTCTCCATAACGGAAAAAGTGCTTCCGCAAATGTAAGTGCTTTCGAACATCGATAAGATTTTCAAAGCAAAATCCGATTTTTAAAAAACGCTCATTGCTCAGAACATTCTAAATACCTTTAAAATTCAATTATTTTGTCACCGACACAACTTGCCGACATATCAAGCAAGCATTGTGGTATATTTCCTCCCGCATCCAGTTTAAAAAAATCTGTTTGAATTCGTCTGCTTTCTTCTCAAACTCGTGTTAACAAAATAACTGCAGATTGATTGATTATCAAATATGAGGTACAGATGGGTAATTACTAAATTTTATGACATAACAGGTAGCATTTTTTGTAATACTGTTTAGGCTGATTGTGAAAAATATCCTTCCATGAGGTATATTGCATGAGGTTAGGCCATAACATCAATATTTGGTTATCTGGCATAGGCTAGCCAACCTAGGATAAGAGCATCCGCATTCGATTTTTAGCTTTCTATGATGCCAAAATTGTTAGCGTATATTCCCGACCAAAACGATAGAAAGCCAGATTACAATATACTAGACTGCCAAGCGCATTATTCAACTTTGCTCGTTGTATAAGCTAGCCATAACACTAGTCAATTGGGTGACATTAGTGATGTAACAATATGTGAAAAGATTTTTCAGTCTACGATGCTTTCACAAAATACATTTTAGTCTATTCTATAGGTATTTTATTTTTATTATTTTTTTCGGCTTTTATTTTCTCACGACATGAGGAACGGCCCACAACTGTATGCGGAGCAATTAATATCCAGTAATGTATAGTATAGCTAGGGCGTGTTGGCTGGTGTTATAATCGTATTATAAGCCCTACGTCATTTTTTTGTTTATTAGCGAATCGTTATTCATCTTAGCTCTAGGCGTATTTTCCTAATATTGTTTGTTACATTTTCGAGTTTAACGTTCCGACTTTCTGCTTCAAACAAGTATTTGTTGTTTCAAAACTCCCAAATATCTATTTCACATCCCCAAGCGTATACATATTTATGAGAAACTTTAAACTGTTGCTTACAGTCATCCTCACAACTGTGTGCGAAGCAATCAATATCTAGTAAGGACAGAACTGAACAAATCATGGAGATATAATTCTGTCTATCGTTATCACAGGAAACAACAAACCATACTTTACATGTTTTTTTACTAGCAGTTTGCATTAGTCAGTTTTACCAGTCGTCGCCAAGATGATGTTTCAGTGAAAAGTCAAAAATGACAACAAAAGTGTTTGAACCTGCAAGTTTACTGTCTCAAGTGATTTGTGAACAAAACTAAGCACACCCACTTTGAAACAGTCACGTATTTTACTTAGCAACAATAAGGCTTGAACATTTCTCACAGTCGCGCTATTATGCAACTACATGAATTTTAGATAAAATATATATTAATTGAATGTTTTTGAACAATAGCATTTTGAATGAATTAAACATTCCATAGTGTATAATAGGAAAAATATTTGTTTTTTGGGCATTGCAAAACCTATGAAGCTATAACGAAACTTTATGATAAACATCACTATGCTCATTCTTTGGCTCATCCTTAAAGAACAAATTAATCTTGTAAGGCCTGTCATATCGATTTTTGCTCAACGATATTTTACATCTCAAACATTTTACAGTTTTTTTCTATGATATTGAGTTTGAACAAAAAATTAAGATATTTCATTCATAAAAGTCTAACTAAGCTAGTTTTATAACACCGTTTATGTACGATTATTATATTTAATAACAATGTAGTCATATTTCATAGCTTTAGGCGTGTATTCAGTTCTAAATTTTATTTTCGGCTTAATCTCATTTTTAGTTTTCATCGTAGTGAATTATAATACTTCGTAGCCTATGACGTGTCCGCTTAATATGGTTTATCAAATTTCAAGCGACACAAGTTAGCTTCAAACAAATTAATACTTTCAGTTTTCAGAAAATATCAGTTATCAACCAAATCCTTCCATATATCTCTTTCAAATATCCAAGCAAAAAGGCAGTTCACGGTGCGTTTTACAAAATATAGTTTTTTTACAAACAATCCATACATGTCATTCATAGAATAAAGTTGAGCATATTGTATAAAGCATCTAATGTACGATTGATGTAATCAACAAAGTAATCATATTTCATAGCTTGAAGCGTGTAAGTTCAAAATTTCAATTCTAAATTTTATTTTTGTTTCAGCGTCCATTTTGTTTTGTTTTTCCTTAGTGAATTATAATACTTCGTAGCTTTAGACGTGCCCGTTCAATATAATATATTATATTTTAGGCGCCACCATTTAGCTTCAAATAAACTTTAAAACTTATTATTTTCAGAAAATTCTGATATCAACCAAACCCTTCCATATAACTCTTTCACATCTCTATAACAAAACAAACAAAAAACACCCCACGATGCGTTTTACTTAGTCCATTTTATAGGTATTTTTTTATTCTTATTATTATTCTCGACTTATTTTCTCACGGCATGAGAAACAGCAAACTTTGGCACACAGTCAAGCCCACAGCTGTATTCGAAGCAATTAATATTCAGTAATGTAATGTTATATTATAGCTTGGGCGTGTTGGCTGGTGCTATTTAAAGGTATTATAAGCCCTACGTCATTTTGCTTTGTTTATCAGGGAATCCTTATTCATATTTTTAAGTTTAACGTTCCTAGTTTATGCTACAAACAAGGTCTTGTTGTTTCAAACTCTCAAATATCCATTTCACATGACTAATAGTATACATATTTATGATAAACTTTAAACTACAGGTCGTTTTTCTCAATACATCGTTGTTGGGTACTGACACCAAGCCTTGCTTACATTGAGCAAATTTTTTTTTTTTTTCTCAAGTACTACTTATCCTCCCCATTTTTTTCTCTCTTTCTATTTTATTTTGTAGCTAAAACTTTTTCTCTCCTTTTTGATTTGTGTTTTTTTGCGATTTCTACCTCAGATGTTTACTTCCATTATACCCTCCAAATTTTTTTTGAACTAATTCGGCAAATGGAAACTTCAATACCAGGTATTTTCTCGTGATTGTATCAACTTGAAATGCTTAAAATCTGTCGTGAATTTCACTGCAATATCTTGATTGAATTCACTAAGTAAATCAAAGATGAATAATAGCGTTTTTAGCATAACTATCTGAAATAAATATAAACGGTTTCATTCAGTTTATTATGTTATTGTAAATCCTGCGTGATCTATATTCGCTTACTTGTGTAATTCGCGTTTTGATTAAATCTACCAAGAAAAACACACGACGTGACTTTCATAAATAAGTAAAAGCCGCTTCATTCAATTGATTGGTATATTTCAACTAATATTTATATTCTAAAAAATCTCTCTGTTTTAAAAATATTTATATTCTGAATGAACTCTCTCTTTTAAAAAACGACCAATCGTCAATAATGAAATAGTGAATAATCACTAAAGTAGACAGCGGCCAAGTCGAATGATTTGCATTCAAAACTAACATCAATCCATTATACAACATTCTGATATTTTTCGAAATATACCTTGCGTTGATCAGACTAGAACACCTCTCACAAATGCCCATTTGTTGTGACTCAAGAGTATTGAATTTCTCATATGGATAAAAGTTGATTTCTTACAATTCAGTTTTATTTTCAAGCTTTATTTTTATAAAATATGATATAGATATATGTTAGACCTAGTTTATATAATATGAATAGCATTTGATATAGTAGGATTCCTTGTATATTCAGAAATCCGCGGAAAATGCCTGAAGATAAATGAAGATAATGTCAATTAAGTACCGGTTGCATACACCAAAATAGACAATTTGAAAATTCAAATTCACCTCAT